AAACATCTTCAGTTTAATAAAAAATTTGTTTTGACAAAACTGATGATATTTTGACCAAGCTGTTGTATTAAAACGACCCAAATGTAAAAACTTTCACGAAAGTTACTGCGAAAAAATCTGAAAAACCTTTTAAAGTCTATTTTTAAATTAAACCACTTTTTACCATCATGAATGCCTTTCAATGCAATCTGGGGTCAAATGCAACGACAATTTCTATTTTTTTTTACCTAAATAACCACATAAAGACAAACTGATGTTATTGTAGAAGTTTAAGTGTTTGTGTGAACTGCCGTATAACTTRAATAATCTGACTTAAAAACGGCAAAATGTTCAGTGGAAGTGGGTTCACTCAGCCTGCAGACAAGCTAATAACATTTTTGAGCTGACAKGCTTCTAAAATGAACTCTGCGGTCTTTAAATAATCTTTTAACTGTTAARGCAAACTACACTCAAAAAACAGATGTGTTCGATTTGCTTTACCAAGTTATGTAACATTTTCCACCCTACTGAGTTGAGTAAGTGAAAAGCAACTTTCATATTTTCTTTAAAAATAAATGTGAAAGTGAATCCAACAACCTGTTTTTTGAGTGTACATCAACAATCTTTTACATTGCTGTTATTATCAGATAACTTGATTATTGAACATCAAAGGTCTCACGCCCTGTTCCTCACATGTGGTGTTTCCCTGCTTCGGCCCACCTGATTGAAATACTTGAGTTACCTCCARAGAATAGCTCTGTCTCAGTTCAGAGGTTGCAGCCCACATAGACCGCTGCCCACACGGTCTGTGTCCACACCGCCTACAGCCCACACTCTGTGGGTCGTAGGCCGCTCGTGTTGGCTGCATGAACTGCTGTGAAATGAGACGTCTGGTCTACAGAAGGTGTGTTTGTGATGCTGCCTCATTGCCATGTATTATGTAAGAATATTTTGTGTTCGTTAACTGAAATCGTGACAAAACCACATAAATATTGATTCATTAAAAATGTGAAGAGAATCGACCATACAACCCCAGATCTGGTTCTYAGAYAAACTTTATTGCTTACAGCTGAAGCAAGCAGAGCAGCGCTGTCCAAAACTGGAAGTTCTGGTCTATATATACAGGGATCTTCAGTGCCTGGTACGCCCACTACAGGCCTACGGCTGTATCGCAGACAKTCTGAACAGCAATGCTCACCTGTTTTTATTAACGGTTTATTATATGTTGTCAAGGTGTTTCAGGCTTGTAACTAAACCTATTTTAATCAAGACATAACAATAGATTATAAAAGTCAAGCCTTAAAAAGGAAAACTAAGAAAATGATGTGTTGCTTTTAAATCATTGTCCAACTGACTAATAAATTCCTTCAATTACATGATTTTAGTTCTTTGCACAATATGTCTTGACAAATTTCAGTATTATTATAAATGTGTTACATGTAAATTAATAAAAAGCATTAATAATTTGGGTTTTACTTCAATATCCAACAACTGAAAAGATATTTTAACATGTTTGTTTACCTTAATATGT